TTCTATTCATTGTAGCTCTAATACTTAGTATACATAGATACTCAGTTATTTCTCAAATTCATTAAAAGCAAAAACAAGCATATGTCTATTTCATAAAGTAATTGGCAAAGAAAACTAATATCAAGTATTTAGAAAAATAAATTTCAGATCTAGTTTGTAGTCTTGCTATTTAGACTATTATCTGTTGTTAGGAGATGCTAGAAAGATAAATGTTAAAGAATATTAGCATTTAAAATGCTCTGGAAAGGAAAATAAAACAATATTTTTTCTTCTGCTATATGATTATTCAGACTACGTGTTTTCCTTCACTTCAATTCCTCAGTTTTGTTGTTTACCTTTAGGCACATTTACTGGACCTATAGAATCAATGAAGAGGAGGTAGAAAGTAAAATCTAAGAATCTCACTGGAGAAATGCCCATAAAATTCAAACCTGTTTCAATTAAGAGTTGGAAGATCAGTGAAGGATTTTTCATGAAGGGAAGTTGCTTGCATTATTAAAAATCACCACAATCAATCTCTAAATATATTATTTTTTCTAAATATATTAACTAGAAATATAGAATTGATCAAATATTTAAGGAAATGAAATAGAGGGCTAAATGAAATCTTGCATGGTAAAACTTCAGTGTTTTCTTAAACACTCCTTTTAACAAAAGTTCAAGCGTGCTGGACTTATCCTCAATAATATTAATAGCATCTAACATTTACACTGCATCTACTAGTTGCCAGGTAATGTTCTAGGCCACTTAATATACTGATTCCTTTATTGCCAATATCTCTCTGTTCTGGATACCATTATTATCTTCATATTACAAATGTGGAAGCAGAAACACAAAGATGAGTGACGAGTGTTAAATGACTGTGTTGGGATTTGCCAAGGCATTCTGGCTTTGAAATCTGTGTTCTTACGTACTACATGCTACGGGGCACTGTCCCTCAGAATTTCTACTTGAACTTCCTACTCTCACTACCACCTGCTTTCCTTCTAACCTATCTGCCTGCTTTCTGGCCACTTGTCTGTCTTATTAAGACCTCCACCAACTTGACTCTTCCATTGTTTTTCCTACTCATCGCATAAATTCACTTACGTCTTTATTCAGTGTAGCATCTACAGTGTATCATAATCACCTCATTTTACACCCTCTATTCCCTCCTCTCTTTTTCTTTGATACCCTCATCCAACTAAACAGCAGTTCAAATTACACCAAACTATCTGCCTACTCTGTGTGTATATTGAGGAGCTGAGCATTGCAGAAGATACGTTCAGAACTGCTACTTATGTTTTGTTTAAATTCATGATCGTAGGGAATGCCTGGGTGGCTCAATCAGCTAAGCATGTGCATTTGGCTTAGGTCATGCTGTCGGGGTCCGGGGATGGAGCCCCACATCAGGCTCTCTGCTCAGTAGGGGGTCTGCTTCTCCCTCTCCCTGTCTTTCACTCTTACTTGTGCTTGCTCTCTCTATCTCTCAAATAAATACATAAAATATTTTTAGAATTCATGATCATAAACTTAAGTGCGTGCATTATTGAGTCAAAAAAATCCTATTACACTTCCTAGTATGTTCACTTTCCCATTATCAAAAGGATCATTGCTCTTTACCTATAAAGATGTTCACTGTTTCACTGTTTCTAACAGCAAAAGACTGGAAAGAATCTAAACACCCAGAACCGAATTGACTGAATAATGTACACCAGCACAATGGAACAGCTTTGTTAATGATAGAAGGATACTTAGAAGAATAGTGAAAGATACTTATTGGCAAGAGAAAACAGTCATTGTTACACAAGGAAGGCAGGTAACAAAAACCTTTGCACCGTTCAGTTATAATAAAATACATGGAAATAAAAATGAAAATTAGTAGTGGTTTTCTCCAGATGGCTGGATTAGAAATAATTATTTTATTCTTGTTTTTATTATCTATATATATTCTCCATTGAGGATCGGATATCTTGGAGTAAAGTTATCTTTAAGAAGGCAATGATACTATGTCATTTTCTTCTACTCTCTTCTCCCTAACACATCACTCCCCACTCCTCCTCCCTCTTCAATTATGTTCTAAATTTGTGTTGAAAAAAATTGATCCGAAATTCTTTGGTTTCTATCTACAACCCTACCTGCATTTCAGCATATTTTCTCTAGTAGCTCTTGGGTTCCTGTAAAATATGGCAACCTTGCTCACCCTACAGGGCAACCTCATGACTGATGCCCTGTATCTTTTACTTAGTCACTTCTGCAAAGATTTTAATTGATTAAACTTTCTGTCAGCAGTTTGGTATTCTCTCTTTGTTGAATGATCCACTTTCCCCCTTTTCTACAAAAGGATATAACATAGTGGCTCAGGCGTGGGCTCTAGGTAGAACCTGCCTTGATTGAGCATTGCTTCCCTTATTTCTAGCCGTGTAGACCAATTAGCTGAACTAATAGCTTTGTAGAGCATTTGCCAAATTTCTCTCTCAGTTTCATCGTCTACAAAATGTGTTATTAATATTATGTACATCATAGGATAGTAGGATATAATTAGGATGATATTAATTAATGCCTGTAAAATTCTCAGAATAGTGCCCAGGGCATAGTAAGTAGTTAATAAATGTTTCCTATCTCTTCCTCTCCCTCTACTTCCCTTTATCTTCTTCCTTATCGTTTCTTTACAAATATGTTTTTGAACCTCTTTTTGGGGGAAAATGCTCTCCCATATCATTTCTCTCTTTGGCTTCATTTTTCTCCATTCCACATTTACAGGAAATTTTTTGAACACTTTTCCAATAGGCTCTCCACTTCTTTACCTCTTTGATTAGGTCAGTTTGCACTAGTCACCACTCATACTGGCTCTTCTTCCCAGTATCACAATGTGTCCTTGCCATGGACACATTGGCAAGCAGCAGTCATTACTCTTTTTAGCACCATCTGACTCTGTTTACCGATTCCTCCTTCTGGGAACATTTTCTTCTCTTGGTTTCAAGAACATTATGTTCTCTTGATTTTCCTACTACCTTTCTGCTCTTCATGGCTCTTCCTCTGATGTTCTTCATGGCTTCACCTCTGTGTTAGCATACTCTAGGGCTCTCTATCCAGGCTACTTTTCTGTCTATGTACTCTCCTATCTTAGAAGGCAGAGATAAGTGTAAATAACAAATTATATTTTAAAAGATTTATGTTTATATGGTTTAACTCTGCCCACAAGATAAAAATATATAAATAAATCTTTATGAAAAGGGCAGTCTTCAAGTTTTAATAGCAGTTGTAGAATGTTTTATTTTATTCATGACCTATTAAAGTGAACAACATTGGCTTTATAAAGAAGTGGAACAGACACCTCACAAAATGACTACTCATGTACACGTGAACTCATGCTCCTCCCTTACATAATCCTCATCCCTAGCAACCACCATGGAACCAGCAAATGATAACCATAGTATGCAAAGAAAAATCTTTCCTGTAAAAATGTACCATAATGGAAAAATTCCATCACTGATTTATTTTTCAAAAAGATTTTACCAATGAAAGGTATGAAAGATGGATCAATATTACTCTTTCTTCACTCTCTCCCATATCAGTTACTTATTTTGTCAAGATAGTCACATTATTTTTCAATAAGTTTTGTACATGTCTAAGTCTTTCAGTAACCTAAGACCTTTTTTCCCAAGCAGAACCTTATAGTCATTTCCTTAGTGATTTTCTGCATAATGCTTGCTACATAGTAATATGAAAAATATTTCTTGATTGAAGAAATAAAATAAATTCAGTATTATGTATACTTTTATAGTTGTGTTCCAAATAGCCCATGGTATTGATATAATGAATAGAACATAGAAAATTGTATTAGAATGAATTTAAATTTCTTGTTCTAATTGTTATTAATTAAGTTAATAATTGCTAGTATAGCCTACTCACTGGTCACCCTACTTTGATTTTTACTCTCCTCTTAAACCTTTACTGACACTGACACATTGGCCACAGTGAGCTTCTTGAAAAGCAAACTTTACCTGTCACTTTCCTGCTTGAGGGCATTGTTGATACCTTGATAGAATCCTATTGTCTTTTGATTACAGTCCAAAAGCCTCAATAGGGCCAAGTAGATCTTATGATTCCCTTCCCATCTCTAGAGTTTTATCTCAAAGTCCTCTCTTCCCTTCTGACTTGTCTCTTTGGTTTTCTTTACATTCATTGTCACGGTGTTGGCTGCCTGCCTAAGATCTCAGAGTTCTCCTCCTTTAGTCCACTTGCCTTATTAACTCCATGCTTAGATCAAATGCCACTTCCTCAGAGACTCTCCCTTCATCTCAGGCTAAGTAGGTACCACTATTGTATGTCTCCTAACACCTGATCCTGTTGATAGACCTCATTTTAATTGTATTTGCTGATGCATTAATTTATTTAACTTCCATCTTCCTTAAGCATTTAACCTCTAACTTAGATGACTATATGGACTGTACTGCCCTTTATAAGATGACAAATTCAGGTTAGGGAAAATGTGGTAAAATACTAAGTGTCCATGGTAATACTGAGATATCAACACAGGGTTTCTTATGTTCCCCCTTGACTTTGAGTCCATTTGATTGAGGGTCATAAGCATAATTAATCTAAGGAGGCAAAAGAAAAAAAGGTGCTACATGCTATTTCAAATGTCCCTTGCTAGCATGCCCACTGCAAAATTACAAAACCTATATGGAAACATTTTCTTTAATCATGTCTTCCCTGCTCTCTAAAGATGGGTTATCAGCAGGGCCAGAGGAAATCTTTGTCTTCCTGGAGAGAGATTTTTTTAACGTGGGAATGATCTCTTTCCTGCTTTCCTCACCAGGAGTGAGAAAGAATGGCATTTGACTTCTTTCCTCTTCCAAGGAATTAGGGCTCTCTTACCTGTGCTAAGTGAGAAAATTTAGGTGCAACTCAATCAGAAAATTGTGGGGTCACAATGCTGGTGGACACTTTTGATACTGCTGAAGTCTGTACAATAGGAGAGATTTTAGTTAAGAGAAGTAGTGTCTGGGAATGACCTGCATTCCTACCACATAGACTTGCAAAGACAGTGGATCTTCGGTAACTGGAGTATGTATCAGTTTAGGTGGTGAGGGTTATGCCATCTTCAATATCCCTTGAAGTCTGCTTATTTGAACATGAAGAGCCTAGAGGAAAGAGACAATGAGCTGGAGGTGGAGGGATGGATGACACACTGGGGGAAGTATAGGGTAAGGCTATGCCTGGGCAAGAGATTATACCTCCCTCCTCATTCCACAATCCCAAAGAACATCAAGAGCTTCTCACAACAGAGCCAGGCACTTGAAGGTAGTCACGAGGATAGCTGGTGGCAGCCATGGCCAGCTTATTTGTGGAATACAAGAAATAGTGAAAGAGGGATCCCTGGGTGGCGCAGTGGTTTGGCGCCTGCCTTTGGCCCGGGGCGCGATCCTGGAGACCCGGGGTCGAATCCCACGTCAGGCTCTCTGCATGGAGCCTGCTTCTCCCTCTGCCTGTGTCTCTGCCTCTCTGTCTCTCTCTGTGTGACTATCATGAATAAATAAATAAAATCTTTAAAAAAAAAAAGAAATAGTGAAAGAGATTATAAGGGAAAGGAGGGAAACTGAGTGGGGAAAAATTAGAAAGACACACCATGAGAGACTCCTAACTCTGGGAAACAATCAAAGGGTTGCAGAAGGGGAGGTGGGTGGGGGGATAGAGTAGCTGGGTGATAGGCACTAAGGAGGGCACTTGATGGGATAACCCTCAGAATATTATACTATATGTTCGAAAATTGAATTTAAATAAAATATTAAAAAACAAAACAAAAAGAATTTTTAGAAAACCAAATTAAAACAAAAGAAAGGAAAACTTTTCCAGAGATATCTATTATCATCTCTCCTTTTCTAAAAGGAAGCTGCATTTCATTACCTCTGCTCCTGTCAATTTATTCAATGGAAAGCAAAGATTTCTTTCTGACATTTTTCTTGGGAGAAAGGTGAAGCATGTGAAAGCTGTAGCATAGAAAGATAATATACTCTTCCTTTCTTGCATCATGAAATAAAGGAGAGAACCTGTCTGCAAACTATGAGAAACTCAGAAAGAGTGCCCATATCTACCAGCCGGAGAACTATCTTAATGGAAAAGTTGTGTTCACATGATCATTTGTCAGTCTTTTCAGCAAGACTCATATATGACTTTTTTTTCTTTTTTTTTTTGGACTTGATATGATTAAAAACTATAATTTTGGAATGTGCAGAACGAAATACACATTGAGTTAATTACTCAGGAGGGGAGGAGTGAGAAGAAGGAAAGCATATATTATTATTATTGCTATGCATCTTAGTAAAATATGTCTGAAAAAGAATACACTGAAGAAATAAAAGAAATTAAATTGTTTTAGGTCTTTCACCACCAAACCATAGACTAACAGTGTCTTAAAGGACCTTATAGGGTAAAGCTAATGATAAAATAATACTTGTGAAGTGTCTGACACATCAGCTAATGTTCTAGGTATGTTCATTTTTTCTGATAACCCTTGACAGGTTAGGTCTATTATTCCATTTCTGCAGATGGAGAATCTGAAATTCAGAAGTATTAAATAACATGTCCAAATTGCATAGCAATAAATGACAGAACTGAAGTATGAACCGATTAAGTGATGATTCAGTCAATGCTTGAACACTGTCAACTTAGAACCATATAATTCCTGGTTACCCAAGCAATTAAAAAAAGGAACATGATTTGTATTGTGTTCTTAATAAGCAAAGTTAGAAACTCAGAGTGAAGGTTTAGGTTTTTTTCTGATTGCTTCTTTATAGAAAAATCATATCCTTAGTTAATTCTACAAGGATATGAGAATGCATTTGACAAGTTTGACTTCAAACTTGCCATTTCAGATCACAAGTAACACTTTTTCTTAAAGGTTACATTTCTGTGGCAGAGATTGCTAGCTGTTCACTAAAATCCATTCACCTCTTCTTTCAGGATCCACAGTCTACACTTCTAGCTACCCTTGCATTTAAGTATGACTGAAATTCTAGCCAACAGAATGTGAGGAGATAAAGTGTGTCTTCCAAGGAAAAGTCTTTTTTTAAAAAAACCCTCCATGCCGGGATCCCTGGGTGGCACAGTGGTTTGGCGCCTGCCTTTGGCCCAGGGCGCGATCCTGGAGACCCGGGATCGAATCCCACGTCGGGCTCCCGGTGCATGGAGCCTGCTTCTCCCTCTGCCTGTGTCTCTGCCTCTCTCTCTCTCTCTGTGACTATCATAAATAAATAAAAATTAAAAAAAAATTCATGGTATTTAAAAAAAAAAAAAAACCCTCCATGCCCTCTTTCCTCTGTTGCCAGTAAATGAGATGATGATGAAGTCCTAGAAAATGGTTGAGCCACAAAATGAAAGGAGTCTGGATCTCCTAATTCCTGACTAGGGATGCTTGCTTTGAAATCTCTCATGGGGAAGAAATAAACTTCTGTTGCATTTGAGCCCTTGAACATACTTGAGACAATCTGTGGTGCAACAACTTCACTAACAAAGTAGTGGATTATTTGGAATTAAAAAAACAAACATTGCATTTGGATTTGTTGTTCCCCATCTACTGTAAAATCATGGTGGATAAATGGACTTCTCTGAGTCAGTTTCTTCTGTGAAACAGAAATAAAAATTTCCACTTTATGAAATTGTAAAGATTAATTTAAATCCTAAATATGACATTGCTTTATAATCACTTAGCAAATGTGAAACATGTAGGATATATATATTTTTTTAAACTTTTATTTTTTTTTAATTTATTTATTTATGATAGTCACAGAGAGAGAGAGAGAGAGGCAGAGACATAGGCAGAGGGGGAAGCAGGCTCCATGCACCGGGAGCCTGATATGGGATTTGATCCCGGGTCTCCAGGATCGCGCCCTGAGCCAAAGGCAGGCGCCAAACCGCTGCGCCACCCAGGGATCCCTGTAGGATATATTTTTTAAGAGAATGTTTCACTCTTAGTCCAGAAAAAAAATGTTCTTTTATTTTTTGGAACAGCTTGAGTAAGACACAACTTATATACCATAAAGTTCATACATTTTAACTGCACAATTCAATGAATTTTATTGTATGTAAAGAGTTTTACAAACACTACCATATTCTGGAATATTTTCATCACTCCACAAAGAGATTTTATACTCCAATCATTCCCCATTCCTACTCACAGTCCTATAAAAATACTAATCTACCTTCTCTCTCTCTCTCTCTCTCTCTCTCTCTCTATATATATATATATATATATATATGCCTTTTTTGGACATTTTATATAAATGGAATAATACAATTTGTGTTCTTTTGTGTCTGACTTCTTTCAATAAGCATACTGTTTTTGAGGTTCATCCATGTTTTAGCATGCACAAATACTTTGTTCTTTTTTATTACCAAATATCATTCCATCCTATAGATATTCAAATATTGTTTATCTAGTTGATGAACAAATATTCTTTATCTAGTTGATGAACATTTGGATTGTTTCTAGGTTTTATTTATTTTAAATAATATTGCTGCAAATATTCCCATATGTTTATTTGTATGGACCAACATTTTGCTGGGTCATACAGTAACTCAATATTTAACGTTTTAAGAAACTACTAAATTGTTTTCCAAAGTGGCTGAACCCTTTCCTTTCTCACAGCAATGTATGAGAGTTCCATTTCTTCCATATTCTTGTTAGATAACAAGCACACTTTTTGATTATAGCTATCCTAGTTGGTAAGAAATGGCATCTTATTATGGGTTTTAAGACAATATTTTATTTATTTATTTGAGAGAGAGAAAGAGAGAATGAGCAGGGGCATCTGGGCAGAGGAAGAGGGAGAAGAAGACGCCTTGCTAAGTGAGGAGCCTGACACAGGGCTGGATACCAGGGCCTTGAGATCGAGACCTGAGCTGAGGGAGACCTTTATTCTGGTGCCCCTTATTCAGGTTTCAATTCGCATTTCCTGGATAATGATGCAGCATCTTTTCAAGTGCTTATTGGCCACTTGTATATCTTCTTTGGAGAGATATCTATTCAAATTTTTTACCCATATTTAATTGGGTTATTTGTCTTGTCCAAATTCATCTTTTCACATGTGGATAGCAAATTGTTCCAGAACTGGTTTCTGAAAAGGCTACTTCTTTCCTGTTAAATCTTCTTAATAACTTTGTTGAAAAATAATTGACCACAATGTAAGGGCTTACTTTTGGGCTTTCAGTTCTATTCCATTGATCTCTTTGTCTACCCTTATGCCAGAACATACTGTCTTTGTTATTGTAGCTTTATAATAAGCTTCAAAATTTAGCATTATGAGTCCTTCCAATTTGATCATCTTTTTAAATATTGTTTTGGCTATTCTGGGTTCCTTAATTTCCATGTGAATCTTGGGTTTAGCTGTTCAATTTCTGTTAAAAAAAAACTAGGATTTTGATAATTATGTTTGACCTATAGACAATTTGGTGAGTATTGCCATCTTAAAAAAAAAATCAATGTTTCAATCCATAGCCATAAGGTATCTTTCCATTTAGTTAGCTCTTCTTTAATTTCTTCTGATATTTTATAATTTTCCATGAGCATGACTTGCACTCCTTTTATTCAATTTTTCCTAAGTGTTTTGTTCTTCTGGATGCTATTGTAAATGGAATTGTTATCCTAACTTATTTTTAGATTTTCATTGCTAGTGAATGTCCCTTTCTTTTGATCTACATTGTCATGTTTCAGATGTTCCATACTGGTTTTACTATTTCTCTCTCAAAGTGAACTCTATCCATGGCATTTGTTAACACAGTGAGTGCAAAGCCTTTTTCCCAACAGCCTGAACTCCTATTTATGACCACATCCCTATTTCAGCAGCGCAGAAGGCAAATTGTTTGCCTGACATAAGAAAGACAGTAACCATATGTGAAATAATTATTTTTAAATGATGCCATAAAACCCCCAATCCAGTTTCTGCTGGCAAGCATACATGATAAAAAGGGATTTGACACATGGCTAAGGGACAGAAACATTTAAACTCCATAGTTTTTAATTAATACACATGGATATCAAAAAGAAAAAAAATATTTAGAGGAAGAGGTAAGAGCCCTGTTCTGGA